AGGTTCTAACACTTCCCTGCTCTTTCCAAACTGAAATAATGGATTTAATGTGGCCCACAGCTTTCTAAATCAATATCAGATAGTTTTGTGATCATGCTCACCTCTGTGACTACTCCCACCCTCTCATTGCTAAGCCCGATTTTCTACTCCTTAGCTGGCTAACTTTCTCACTTTGTCATCTTTCTCAGGCTTTTGGAGGAGGGCCTTGGAGACAATGGGTGGACCTGAGGAGTGGTTGGCTGCAGTTTTGAGGAAGCTCAGCAAATCCTTAACAGGAGGTTTGGCAAGGGGCTGGACTCCCTTAAAAATTGTTGGAGCCTGCTCAGTAGCAAAAGTGTGATGATGGGAGAGGAGTGAGAAGCAGGAAGACATGACGCTGGAGGAGGAAGGCCGTCAGGAGGTCTAGTGGGGTGGGACCTGTCTGCGAGCCTGGAGCTGGAAAGGAGGAATACTCATTACTCACTGACCCCTGAGATAGGACCACCTGTATGGCAGGAAAGGAGCAGTCCAGCTGATAGACCTGGTAGCAGCAGCCATCCTGCAAGCAGTACAGGAGAGAATCTGAGTGAATATACCTGCACCCCCTGGGCAGATAGGAGAAGGAACACTCTGGTGGGAAACCAGATTAGCCCTCTTCTAGTGGCTTTACACCTTACCTAAAGGAGCAGGAACCAGATTCCCTTCTTAAGAAGAAAATCTACAGATTTCTTGGTGAAGGGGAGTTCATTTAAAGTCTGGGGTTGTACAACTGGAGCTGCTGGCTAGCACTCCAACATAGACTGTGTCAGAGAAGAGAAGCTCTGAATAGTGCAGGAAGTTGCCCTCAGACTCAGCTCCCTTGGACATCCTATACCCTAACCCCTATCCAAATGTAATCCCTTCAATAAAACAACAAAACCAATGCTCAAGGCCTGATTCCTGTGGATGAAAACTGTGTGGAAAATGCTAAGTGACTGGCTGTGCAGGGCTATAGGGGGACCCAAATTCAACAGCAACCCCTAAGGGGGCAGTGCTACATATCTTTGTGTGTTTTTTTAGATTCTTACCTCTGCAGTTTTATCTCTTAACATTTTGTCAAATTAAAAAAAGGTATTATGGACAAACTGTGCTAAAACTAAAATATAAAGTTTTAGCAGGTGTTGGGCTTTAATTTGTTTTCAGTGATAACAAAAATTGCGCTTCCAGGGACGAAAACCAACATACCGCTTTAAATTACTCAAACTTTGCTAATTCTATCCAGTACATGCACTCGTCTCTTTCCAAACACTGAACGGGCAAGAAGCCAAGCAAAAAGGAAGCAGAGGAACCAAATGTAACAAGTTTAATCTTTATTCATGATCTCTAGCTCATGTTCATCCCATACTTTCCAGAGCAGACTGGAGGGCGCAGTCTTCAGCGTATGGATTTTATTTATTTATGGATTTCAAAATGAATCCTTCCTCACGTTGCCCCTTGGGTATTTAAAACCCACAGAAGAGCCAAGTTCAGCTGCTATCGTATTGTCTTGTAGATGTAGATAATCTAAGAAGATTTGAGAATGTGCGATGAGCGAGTTAAGTTAAACCCTGCTTAATGCTGAGGAGAGCATGAGATCAAGAGAAGAATCCACAAAATTTAAATTAAGACAAAATTTACTGTCTAGAGAGAACTTTAGCTGCATGATGCCTCTACTTTATCTGTTAAAAAAAAGCAGCTTGTAAACTGTGCAGGGCTGGGGCAAGGAGGGGGGCAGAGAAGGGGAAGCTCATATGTGGGAAGAGGGGTGCCATTGGACAACCTGCACCCTCCCATACAGCTTGCAACTGGCTGAGATTGTGAGTGTTATCACTTACATTGTTCCCATTTTTCTCTGTGGACCACAGAACACCTCCTACAATGTTACAGAGATGGAGAGCTGGAAGTATTCTTTAGTCCTGACCAGGGGCGGACTGACAACTCATGGGGCCCCCGGGCAATAGGGGATCATGGGGCCCCAGTGTCCTTGCCCAAACTAAAAAAAGCCTATGAAAAAGGTACCAGGGGAATCTCATGGGGCCCCCTACTGACCCCGGGCCCTCGGGCAGTGCCCGAGTTTCCAAATGGTCAGTCTGCCCCTGGTCCCGACAATGCTACTTTTCCATAGATGCAATAAGCAGTAGGGTGAATGAACATTGTCACCATAGGTCAGACAGTGTGTTACTGGTGGAATCACTAGGTAAAAATAAAGACATATACACAGTAGGGATGCACCAATACCATTTTTTGATCTGCGAGTACAAGTACTGATACTTTCGGTCAAGTACTTGCCGATACTGAGTACCAATACTTTGCATCAATACAAAATATATGGACATAAAGAATAGCATACAATCTGAACAAGAATGCTATTCCTGTCCAAATCACATGCGGTTTCCTCACTGCTCCTATGTGAACCCAGGCTTGTCATAGCCTGAGTTCACACAGGAGTGGTGCAGGAAACCTCCCTGCACTGATCCCATGCTGAGCAGAGAGTGGGAGAGAAGGGCATGTGGGGATATATATCTTGGTGTCGGCCATTGGAGAATGGAGGCAGTTGCTCTGGATACTCAGCTGTAGGAGAGTAGAGAAATCCCCGTGGCTTTCTCTCCTCTCCTTCCAGGGATGACAGTACAGGCTAAATGACTTTTAATTGGTCCACACTGTCTTGGAGAACTCATGAAAATACTCTGTATCATGCTTGGTGTTGGCCAATGGAGGATGGAGGCAGTTGCTCTGGATACTCAGCTGTAGGAGAGGGGAGAAAACCACAGGAAATCCCAGTGGCTTTCTCTCCTCTCCTTCCAGGGATGACAGTACAGGCTACACGACTTTTAATTGGTCCACACCGTCATGGGGAACTCATGAAAATACTCGGTATTGTGCTTGGTAACACAAATTGCTAATCAGCCAATCACATGGCAGCAAGTCAATACATTTAGGTATTTAGATGTGGTAAAGATGACTTGCAGAAGTTCAAACCCAGCATCAGAATGGGAAAGAAAGGGGATTTAAGTCACTTTGAACATGCGATTTGTACAAGTTTATAACCAGCCCAAGTTTAACACCTTTGCTTCAACAAACATTTTGATTATATGGATAACATATATGGATTATATGGCTAACAACTGAAAAAGTTACTCTCTTCCCTATTAAAGTATTATGCTTTGATAAAAGCAAGAAGCTATGACTAATTGTAGACCAGGTACCTAGACTGTGCCTGGAATATATCTTTTTGAGTGTGTTTTCTTATAGAGGTTTACTGTTTTATTTAAAGAGAAGGGTGATAATTTCACAAAGCAATGGAAAAGTTGGATTTTAGTCCTGTAATACTGTACATTGTATTGACTTACTGGTCTTCAAACAGCGAAACAGTGCAATGACCTTCTTCAGTCGGTGGGCCCTCACATGGTTTTCCTCCATTGCTGGGAACAGGATTGATACATTGCCTGGTTCTTCTCCTAACTTGTGAAGCATCACATGCACTCCAAGATGACCAGCAGTTCCATGAACCATCGACTGCAACTGTCGGGATCAAAAGATCAGAAGTAATCACTAATGGTCAATATCCGATGCATTAAAGAGCACCTTAACCCAAAAACAAAACTCTAATATGTTACAGCTTTGCAATGGGAGGTGGGAGGAGAATCCAGACTACCCCCATATGAACACAGGGAGAACAAAAACACAAATAGGTCCTGGTCAAGATTTGAATCAAAGACCCAAGTGCTGCAAGATATATGTGCTAAACCCTAAGCCACTTTATCCCCCATGAAAAAATGTATCAAAGGGAAAACGTGACAAAACTGGAGGAATTGCTTGGCTTATAGCTTCTCCCACACAGAAACAATGAACATTTTCTGCTATCCCTAGCACTGTCCCTAGGTTTGCTGCATTACTTCATCTTAGGTGAAGGGCAATGCAGGATCATGGGGCCCCTGTGTCCTTGCCCACACTCAAAAAAGCCTATAAAAAAGGTACCAGGGACATTTCATGGGGCCCCCTACTGACCCCGGGCCCTCGGGCAGTGCCCGAGTGCTCGAATGGTCAGTCCGCCCCTGGATACAAGATGCAGATTTTCTCTTTTTCACATCTGTTGTTCTCATCATGTGATTGTAGCAGGCAGCCCTTTAGGCCTTGTTTACACTAGCTCACCACCCTTAAGAGTTCCCCCTTTAGCTGTAATGGCATTGGAGGGGTAAGTACACGGATGCGATGCTTTGCATCATGGTGTGACAAAATTATCCCCGCTGTTGCATTCAGAGGGTGGTACTGCATACTGCGTTGAACTGTATGTTGTCATCCCTGCAACTGCATGCAATGCATGCCATTGAAGCATGCTAGTGCAGGGTAGTGCGATAAACGCCCCCTCGCTGCCTGTCAAATGTTCTATGAAATGCGATCTGCTCTTCAACTCTGTGTGTAAATTAGTCTTTAGGCTACTTTCAAATGGCTGAATATCTATGGCCAGGGGCAGCCACAGGCAAGAATCAGTAGATTCTTGCTGGCAGTTGTAAACACCATTTGAACGCATTGTGTGCGACCAACAGCAGATGTCAGCGGCAGCTATCAGATTTGTATAGGTCAATGGCAAATGCTGCTGCTGCTTTCATGTAACTGATCATCTGAGCAGTTATATGTGAATAGAGGCTCCAGCCAGTCCTGGACACAGCCACTGTGTGTCCAGGTTAGGCGTTTCTGTGTAAGTTTGGACACACACAAAACTGGTTGCAGGTAAGGGTGGTAAAACCACACAGTTGAGCTAGTGTAAACAAGGCCTAAAGGGCTGCCTGCTATAATCACATGATGAGAACAGGTGTAAAAAAGAGAAAATCTGCAACTTGCATCTAACCAGACCTGCAATATCGATAAGGGCACAGAGTGTTGCTACGTTCAAAAGCTGGCGTTCATCCACCTCTGAATGCATTAAACTAGCTGCAGACATTCGGTCATCTGAGTGTAGCTCTGGTTTTCTGTTTGAGTTAGTCACTGTAATGGTCCACCACAGGGGCGGACTGACAACTCATGGGGCCCCCGGGCAATAGGGGATCATGGGGCCCCTGTGTCCTTGCCCAAACTCAAAAAAGCCTATGAAAAAGGTACCAGGGGCATCTCATGGGGCGCCCTACTGACCCCGGGCCCTCGGGCAGTGCCTGAGTTTCCAAATGGTCAGTCCGCCCCTGGTCCACCATTTTTCTTAGACAGCAAAGCCAAGAACGATTTGGCAATAACATTTTCTAAAGTCTTTGAACATAACTTGCCTGGAGAGGATTGCTTATAGCATGAAGCTGATATTTGCCTACAGCAGCTTCCAACTGTCATTCCTTTAGTACAGGGGTCTCCAAACTTTCCAAAAAAAGGGCCAGTTTTTTATCCTTCAGACTTTAAGGGGCCGGACTGTGGCCAGCGGGAATGGAAATGTTCCTGGCATCTGTGGGAGTAAACCTCACATTTGGCATTAGGGCGAGGAATAGTGCATCATTGTTTGTATCATTTGGAGAAATGGTGCCCCATAGGTGGTGTCAATGGGAGAAATGGTGCCCCAATGTTGGTGTCAGTTAACAGACTAGTGCCTTGTATCAGTTGGAGGAATAGTGCCCCAAGGGCCAGATAACGGCAAGCAAAGGGCCGCATTCAGCCCCCAGGCCACAGTTTGGAGACCACTGCTTTAGTACTAGAAAACAGCCTTTCATCGGATTAGCTTCTATAGACCTAAAATATTGTATGTACCCCCACCTACTTGAATTGTAATCCGGAGCCTTTTTCTCACAGCTCTCCCCGTATGTACCAGGCTGACAAACACACAGACACTCTGTATCCACCAAAACCGTTCTGGCATTATTAGGGCACGGGGAACACTTGCATGGATCAAACCTTCCCAGATACTCATTAAAAGCCCTCAGCAGATTGCGACGTTTCGTCACCGCACAGGGAAATCCAGTAATTAAATCCAAAATAGGCTTCAGCTGTAAGAATCATGAAAATGTTTGTGAATTGCCACATTACCAAATTTATTATCAAATAGTAACTTCTAAACAAACTAAAAAAATTAACACATTAGTGAATACAATCTGAATAAAATTAAAAGAAGAGTTAGGCCTGGTTCACGCCAATACATTTTTTAAGAGATTTTTGCTTTTTGTAGAAATGCACTACAGTCTATTTAACATGGTTTCCTATGGGACATGTTCACATCTATGCTTTTTCAAGCTGCTGCGTTTTTGGAAAGGGTCAGGAAATTTTTTAAAAACGCAAAAAGCAGCGTTTTTGCTGCAATAGATTTCAATGGAGACACTGCTGAAATGCATGTAGTTTGTTTTTGCCGCGTTTTGAGTTTTTATTCTGCCCAGCAGCAAAAACATTTCCCCTTTAACAAAAAAACAAACACATAAAAACGCTGGAAAAAATTCAAAACACGGTACAAAAACACACTTTCGAAAACGCACTGCAAAATGGACAAAACACACAGCACATTGGTGTGAACCAGGCCTAAAAATACGATACAAACAGTATCTTTGATACAAATAATGATGCAGTGCAATAAATTTGGAGGGGTGGAGTGAAAATGCCTAACAGTGCTGAACAGCAACTAAGAATTCACAGATTTGTGAGCATGTTGGTTTGTTTGTGATTTATGTACGTGTACATACAGGTTTATGTCACAGATATTTTATTGCATTTTGCATTAATAGTGACTGCGCTGATTGTCTTTCACTTTTCAAATAATATCTTTAGCCTCATGCACACGGCAGCTACTGTATGCTGGGGTGTACAATCCTTGGTGCTTTCTGGCGCGCTTGGGAGCTGCGCTTGCCACATAAAGCTGCGTATACACAGAAATATATAAGTGTGAAATACGGTACCCAATAAATCTACTAAGCTATCCCAATATTCACAAAGAAACTTTCACCCTTGAAAGTGTAAATAATTAAATAACAATATGAATGGATCCCCACTGTATAGAATCCCCACCCTATATTTAGTGGCAAACAAATCTTTAGAAAATAAATCTCCAAAATATACAAATATACAAGCAAATAGTGTTAAAATTAAAATAAATAAATAAATGAAGTCTTTTCCGCAAATATAGTGAAATTAATACCCAGTGTCATTTAAAGTCCAAAATGTATAAATAAATAAAGCAATATCCAAAACTCCAACTTGATATTTCTTTAAAGATGTTGAGCCTTTCCTCTGGCTCCCAAAGGTTGGAAAATGCCTCAAAGAAAAACAAACTCACAATAGTGCATTATCCTAATGACAATATTCCATATCACTCTATGCACTAAATATAGAGTGATATGGAATATTGTCATTAGGATAATGCACTATTGTGAGTTTATTTTTCTTTGAGGCATTTTCCAACCTTTGGGAGCCAGAGGAAAAGCTCAACATCTTTAAAGAAATATCAAGTTGGAGTTTGGACATTGCTTTATTTATTTATAAATTTTGGACTTTAAATGACACTGGGTATTAATTTCACTATATTTGCGGAAAAGACTTCATTTACTTCATTTATTTATTTATTTTAATTTTAACACTATTTGCTTGTATATTTGTATATTTTGGAGATTTATTTTCTAATGATTTGTTTGCCACTAAATATAGGGTGGGGATTCTATACGGTGGGGATCCATTCATATTGTTATTTAAGTATACACAAAAATGCCAATAGCTTCTGTATCAGCATTTACCTGTGTATTCGAATACTGCCCTTCTCTCCTAATGCTCTACTTTATCCTCAGGGAGGAATGCCATGCACGTATGTGTGGGTACATACTGATGGTCCCTCTGCAGAGGTCTGACATACCCTCTGCTGAGTCAGTGCCATATCTCTTCAATCAGCAGAGGGTGTGAGATTTTCAATTCTATAGGTGGGACTCAAAGGGGAGGATAGACTACTGATTCCACAAATAGAGCAAGGATCCTTCTCTACAGTAGTGATAGGCTGAATACCATAATGAAAGTTTGACTGGGAACTTCGAACAGAGGGAATAATTCACTAAGTGGTATCTTAACACATCTGAGTATATGGTAAGATACCACACGGCTACTAAAAACATTATTGTTTCAGCTGTCAGGGGGGTTCGCTGCTGACAGCTGAATGTAAAAAGAATTACCGGCATTGCCTGGCAATTAAATAAAAAAAAAAACATGTGGGGTCACCCTCCACTTATCCATACCAAACTCTTCAGGTCTGGTATGGATTTGTTTAATTTTGGCGTAGGGCCCCCCCTAAAATCCATACCAGACACTTATTCGAAAATGCAGCACGGCAGGTCAGGAAAGGGGGGGGGGGACGACGATTGAGTGCCCTCCAAATCATACCAGGCCACATGCCCTCAACATGGGGGGGTGCTTTGGGGCAGGGGGGCTCCCCCATGTTGATGGGGACAAGGGCCTCTTCCCCACAATTGTTGCCCATGGTTGTAGGGGTCTGTGGGTGGGGAGGCTTATCAGAATCTGGAAGTCCCTTTTAACAAGGGGGCTCCCAGATCCTGCCACCCCGTGTGCATGAGTATGGGATACATGGTACTGCTACCCATTCACACAAAAAAAAAGTGTAGTGGAAAAATGACAGTAGCCAGTTTTTGACAAGCCCTTTATTAAAAACAACAATTAAAAAAATGTCCCCTGAAGTAGATTCAACGCCAATCATGATGCCTGCCACCACCGACCCAAAAAAAGAGAAAAAAAAAAAAACTGCTGAGCTCTCCACGCTGGCTCCCACTGTCTGACAGCTGTGCCAGGATGACAGTTCTTAAATAGTGTGATGATGTTACAAAGGGGCAGGGTCACCCCACCCCCTTGTGACATCATAATGCGCTGTACTAGGCCAAAGCATTGCACCTGACGTGATCAGGTGCATTGCTTTGGTCAATCACAATGCACTGTCAGGGCACAGTGACTTGTGGGGTGCTGCAGGCGAACAGCCGAATGCCTTTGCTGTTCGTGTGTTTGCAGAACCCATGAATGGTCGATGTTGGAGATGAACATTAGTACAGCCCATCAGTACTCTACAGCATTTCTGACCAGAGCAGAACAGGCGGATGACAGGTCCGTGTCTGCTCAGTTTATGTTGAGTGGACATGGACAGACACCTGACTGCCCTTCGATCTCATCTGTCTAGATCAGTGGTTCTCAACCTTCCTAATGCCGTGACCCTTTAATACAGTTTCCTCATGTTGTGGTGACCCCCAACCATAAAATTATTTACCCAGTAATTATAATTCATGAAGTGTCGTTTTACCTCCAATACTGCTGCTTTCAACACAGTAGCTGCTTTTAACAGAGTAGCTGCTTTCAACACAGCAGCTGCTTTCTACACAGTAGCTGCTCTTTACACATCGGAAATATGTGTTTTCTGATGGTCTTAGGGGACCCCTGTGAAAGGGTCGTTCGACCCCCAAAGGGGTCGCGACCCACAGGTTGAGAACCACTGGTCTAGATGGAGGGAGACGGATCCCCTTCTGTTTTTTTTTTTAGCTGACCAGATTGAATTGGAGGTAGGTGGGTGTAAACGGACACAAGTCCGATTACTCCTGCTGGTCCATACAGGTGAATGTAGGGTGTGATCAGGTCCATCTGCAAAACTGACAAGCAGACCTGATCGGACCCTTTGTGTGAAGATCTGTGTATCTACCTATTTTTAATCTGCTCCGATGTGGTCACATTATCCAGCAGGTCTGGGTCCCCTGTCTAAGTGAGCAGCTACTGCAGGTAAGAGGAAGGGTGGGCCATGGGAGTTTATGGGTGACTTTATGGCTCCGAGAATTCACAGCCGTTGTCAAGTTTTCCCTTACACAGGGAACTGCTGGATCAAGTGACACCGAATTAGGAAAAAGGTAAGTACACAGATCTTTTTCATACAAGGAATGCAGGATAGGTAGGTAGGAGGAACTGGGGGGGGGGGGGCTTTTTTAATAATAGCTAGAGTTTGTCTTTACTAGGAAGAACACAATATAAAGCTGCCCTAAATAGGCATGATGCAAAATTCAATCCTTCATAAAAGAAAGTACTCTCTTGAACAGTCCTAGCTTTTGAATTGAACAGTTTTTTTAAATAAATATATTAAATTACATTTTATAAATAAGATGATATGATTAGATAGCAAACAATCAAATGTATCCCTATTGCCTTAAAAGTAACACAGTATAAATACTAATAATTAGATCAAATATTTTCAAAAGTACAAATGTGTTTTGTGCATAGAGGGTACAATCATA